CCCAATTATAGGCTGCATGTGATGTTTGAAAGAGCCGGCCTGTAGCCAAAACTGTTACACATGATGCTAGTCTGTAGCTCCTGACCCCTCCTCACAAACAGTCAAACACATGCACACAAACACAAGTGCCCCCCGGTTAACAGCCCTGACAAAAGTGTGCTTACATAAGACATGGGATCAGGGTATATTTCACCACTATACAGGACATGGCTGACTCAGAGCTGTCCTCTATACTGTAATCACTCTGTTTAGATTCAATGCTCCATAATAACACATGAGTTTTCATTCAGTTAGCACATGTTCTCATAAAGAGGGTCTCTTTTTTCTTCTTACTCTCTCCCCCTCTCTGTTTCCAGTAATTAAGCACCTTGACTAATTTCTGTGAAAATTTGGGTGACAGTTTGCGGTTACGCAACTTAATTAGTGTAAGGGGATTGTAAGTCCCTGAGCCATTTTGTTCTGTAGTGCCCTCCCTTTTGCTCTGCCTCCAGTGAAACTGTTGTAGAGAAAGGGAAAAAAAGAAGAAAAAAAACTTGTAGGAGAAACCAAGGCTAGTTGTCGCTTAAAGGGGTCATGTGATGCGATTTAAAATTTTCCTTTCTCTTTGGAGTGTTACAAGCTCTTGGTGCATAAAGAAGATCTGTAAAGTTGCAAAGACCAAATACAAAAATACAAAGAGATATTCTTTATAAAAGTTAAGAGTCAACCACGCCTACCTAAAACGGCTCGTTCTAACACCCATGTCTACATGTCTACGTCACGATGTGGGAAGATTTGCATAACACCGCCCAAATGTTCACACAAAGAAAGAAGGTGTAACTTTTATTCTCGCTGTAGTATTGTTGTTGCCGTGTGTTTCGTTGTGAAAGCGAAACTACTTTGTTTGGCCTTCCAAAAGAGGACATGACTAGAAATCAGTGGTTAAGTTATATTTACAACACTGTTCCAGAACACTTCAACCCAAATATTCAGATGTGTGCAGCGCATTTTATGGAGGACTGTTTCCTGATCCTGGTAGAGTAGACTACAATGCCGGCTGTTCTGACTCACAGACGTTTTTCATATTTAAAGGATTTGCCACTGATGATTCAAACGCGGGTTTTGGGCAGTGTAGAGTAGCGCTTGTTGTTTGTCATTTCTCCGATCACAAATGTAGACATGACTTTATGTTTACACGGCGCGATGCAACGCAGTGCGTAAAAAGACAGTATAATCCATAATTATGTCCCCACTGGATGCAACAAATACCTCGTTTATAATGGGTTTTAATGTTTTTGTCTCATGGCTCCAGCTGGGACACGGCATCACAGTATGGTAAGACCGATGAGCTTTGTAAAAATCAACGCGTTTCAGAAAGGCGGGGCATAGAGGAGCAACAATAATGTACAGTATGTGGAAAAAAATGTTTTTTGAACCTTAAACCGCATAAACACATTTCATTACACCAAATACACAAAATAATGTTATTTTTAGCAACATCATATGACCCCTTTAAGGAAGTTGACCTTTATCTCAGTAACTATTAGGTTTGGAGTCAAAATTCCTATTACGTAAATGATTGCTGTTTCTAGCAGGGGTTTTTCATGATGGTTTCAAACATCTTAGAATTAGAATTCTAAATAATAGTAGACTAATAATTATTGTGAATTATAAATTCTTGTGATTTCCTGTGAACTAAATTAACAATATTTGGTAAACAAGTGAAAACACATATCTAATGTGTTTTCATATAAAGCCACATTGTGAGATATGTCACAGTTACGAGAAATAAAGTTGCCATTGCAATGTATTTCACATTGCGAGATATAAAATCATACTTTAAGATATAAAATGTCATTTTCCGAAATAAAGTCACATTACTGAGATATAGTCATGGCTGGATATAAAGTCATTTACTAGAAACAAAATTGCAGTTGCAATGTATAAAAGTCCCATTGTGATGAATTAAGTCACTTTATGAGATATAGTCATATTTTAAGATATAAAGTTGAAATTGAGAGATAGTCATATTGTGAGATATAAAGTCACATTGCGAGATATAAAGTAATATTTTGAGAGTTAAAGTTGCAATTATGAAATATAAAGTAATATTTTGAGATATAAAATCACAGTTATGTGAAACAAAGTTACTATTGCGATGTATAAAGTCACATTATGAGAAATAGTCATTTTTGAGATGCATAGTCATATCTTAAAGATATAAAGTCACATTATGACACATATATGCTATTGTGAGATATTAGGTATAAGGTCACACTGTGAGATATAAAGTATGTTAGGAGAAACAATGCTGCCATTGCAATGTATAAAGTCACATTGTGATATAGTCTTTTTTAGATATTGTCACAATTGTTAGATTCAAAAATCATAATTTTAGATATAAATTTCAATTATGAAATATAACATTTAAGCTATTACCATACAAGATACATTTTAGCATTTATTAAAACAAAAATATTACAAAATTGCTGAATTTTCTCAACTGCAAAGATAAAACAACATCAAACCCCAGACAGTGAACTGTGCATAACCCGCAATGAACAGACAGTATTAAGCCTTATTACTCCTTCAGGCAAGACAGTGTTTACCAAGTAATAACTATATAAAAGGCACTGAGATTATGAAATTATCCCCTTCACTGATGGCCTTTCATAACATATCCCAAGAAAATGAATAAAACAGTTCAAAAAGATGCACACAGACAATAAGTAGACAAAATGTATATTTATTCTGAGAAAGATAATCTACAGGGAGGTCTCTGTTATTGCATGTCAGCTTTGTCTGAACGACCACCAGATCCTGAACAGTTCCGTCTGGTGGGACGCTGCAGCAATGAGCTCACTCACACCGAAAATATACAACACTGCAATGCAACTCGCGTGCAAATCAATGCAGTGAATAAACACACTGCGTGATTGAAGTAATAGTTTGGCGACTTGTCAAAAACCTCTCAGTAATTGATTCTGCCCTGTGAAAGTACACAGCACTGTAGCGCTCATATGCTTTGGTCAGTCTGAACTTAAGGCCCTTTTTGCAACACATGCAATTTTGAGATGCACAATATATGAAACATCACGAAAACATTTCTTGATAAAAGATTAAATACAATGTTTTGAGCATCCTTCAAAAAAAAAGAAAAAAAGAAAAGAAAATTCTGTCGTCACTTACTCACCTTGATGTCTTTCCAAATGTGTGTGACTTTCTTTTACCAGTGGAACACAAAAGACATTTCAAAGAATGTTTCAACCGTGTTTGTTCATAGAATGAACGACAACTGAGACATTCTTCAAAATATCTTCTTTTGTGCTCCACAGAAGAAATTAAGTCATACGGGTTTGAAATGACGTGAAGGTGAATAAATAATTACAGAATTTTAATTTATGGGTGAACAATCACTTTAAAATCAATATAATTGTTTGCTTTGGGTTTCAACTCTCCCTATGCCACCTTCAGCACTTGCAGTTTACAGCACTGTAATCACTTGCAGAGAGCCACTAACTTCTTTCTCAGCACTGTTTCAATACCTCGCCACATTCTGGCACAGTCTAACGTTACAAGTGGCAAACATAAAACTCATCTTGATTTCATTCTTGGTTCATTCTGTGCTCATGAAAGAAAAATGTTTGCCACTAGTGACGTTAGTGATACTTCCACACCAACCCCAGCTTATGCAGTGAAACATTAACTTTTTCTTACTGTGTCATTCAGCTTATGCTCATTCACATTTCGCATAGCAGCAGGTGACTTTTCCAGTTCATCCAATGTAGAAGCCTGATAAAAAGTGCAGTTTGCCCTGGAGCAACACTCCACGCATTTTATTTAGAATTAAATTAAAGATAGGACTGCAATGCTTATCAAAACATGACGCGGCTAACATCATCCTTTAGGGGAGACAAACGTACAATAGTAGCTTAAACAACAGAGCAGTGACTAGCAACGTCAAGGTCATGGGTTTGATTCCCAGGCAATGCATGAAGTGATCCAATGTATGGCATAAACGCAATGTTAGTTGCTTTGGATAAACTGTCTGCCAAATGCATTGAAGCAAATATGGAAGAATTGTTTTTTAAGATTTTCTGTGAGAATATTTTAAATGTGTCATATATGTACCACTAACATCCCCAATTCTTTAAATAAATTGAATTAACTGAATTGAATTAATAAGTAAATTTGGGGGGGGAAATCCCCATTTGCTATTATTTGAGCATACAGATAGCCCCGCCACCAAACTCACATTCCTGCTTGTGTTGTTATGTTTTGCAATCAAAACAAAAAGTTAGCAATTTCATTTAATGCCACTAGTGGTGCAGGAATGTACAAATTGCACCTTCAAATAGTGCCATAAATTGCAAAGGCATGAAGAACCTAAAATTTAACTGTAGAAATTTCATGCACAAAAAATATATGTATAGTCTTGCTCTAACAGAAATTTAAAAACTATGTTAACCATTATAATTTCTGGTAGAAAACTGTGGCCTGAAAAGTTTTTCCTTCATTGTTCGCATCCTAATGTTCACATACACACATATGTTCACATGTTTGGGGTTAGTAAGATTTTTTTTAAAGCAATTAATACTTTTATTCAGCAAGGATGCATTAAATTGATCAAAAGTGACAGTAAAGACATTTATGTTAAAAAAAAATTCTAAATAAAATGCTGTTCTTTTAAACTTTCTATTCATCAAAGAGTCTTGAAAAAACATCACAGTTTCTACAGAAATATTAAGCAGCACAACTGTTTATAACATTGATAATAATAAATGAATGTTTCTTGAGCACCAAATCAGCATATTAGAATGATTTCTGAAGGATCATGTGACACTGAAGACTGGAGTAATGGCTGCTGAAAATTCAGCTTTGTCAACACAGGAATAATTAGTATTTTAAAATACATTAAAATAGAAAACAGGTTTTTTATTGTAATAATATTTTTACAATATTACTGTATTTACTGTATTTAATAAATGGAATCTTGGTGAGCAAAAGAGACTTTTCACACATATCAAAAAAAAAAAAAATCTTACCAACCCCAAACTTACGAACATTACTGTATATTCCTATAAATACCCAATAACATCCGACTCAATCAGATTCCTACTGACAGCAATGAAATGCTTCACTTAAAACACTTTTTGATGAAGCTCCAGGTTCAATGACCAGATATACAATCCAACTGGCCTACAAAGTGTACTTGCACTCAAAGACCCTGACCTCACAGCATGTTTGGGTCTGGACTTAACTCCAAATGTAAACAAGACAGCCTGGAGAGATGTGCCAGCGTCCTGCTGTTTCTGAAATGGACAATCATTCCGCCTCAGAGGACAACAAGGGAAATGTCAGTGATGTCAAGCTGATAGTGTGTCCAAACATCTGCTTGTACTCGACATCACACTTAATGATTTGACAGATAAAATGAAAGAGCACTTGAGTATCTCAGACTGAATTGCTCTGGATCCCTCCTCCCCCAATATGAAGGAATAACAAAGGCAAGCAATTCTGTTCATGTAAGCACTAATAAAATGCTATGGTTTTGCTAAGACCGACCATCCACTTGAAACCCTCTTCAACAAAAGATAAGGTAAAGAAAGACAGATGACTCTCGCCCTGAATTGTTCACATGAGTATTTGAGGTTAACTTGGGACTTTCCAAATAAAGAGCAGATCCTAAAATGTAGTGGACAACTTTGAGTCTCTATGAATCTTTCCATTAGATCACAAAAGCTGGCCGATCTCTTCTAAAATGTCTGATTAATTTCACGGCCACATGTGCTCCAGTTAATCCACTAACACGGTCTCATAAAGCAGATGGATCTGTGTCCATTTCTATCCATAAAAGCCAGTTCCAGTCTAACCGCATTCATATCAACAGTACGCAATCATATTCTCACATCTATGCCAAACAGCAGTATTTCTTCCACCAGGACTCAGAGAGCTTCCTCATTTTATCGGGCGTCCGCTTCTTCAGTCTTTTCTGCTGCTGGCTATCCGAGTACTGGATGCTGGCCACTATAGCTGTGTCAAACACCTCCTTCAGGTTCTTCTGGGTGAGTGCTGAACACTCCATGTACGAGATGGCCTGCACTTCCTCAGCACACACGCAGGCCTCCTGGGGGTCCACCGGCCGCTCCTTGTACTGGGCCAGCTGGATGAGCACTTTGACGTCTTGCCGGAGGTCAGCCTGAGTGCCCACCAACAGTATCGGTGCTCTCAGACAGTGCTGGCGGATCTCAGGCACCCACTTCTCCCTCACATTCTGGAAAGAGGAGGGACTTACCACACTGAAGCAGAGAAGGAAGACGTCAGCATTGGTGTAACACAGCGGCCGGAGCTTGTCAAACTCATCCTGCCCAGAGTAAAGAAAAATTCAGTAGAGATAAACATCTGGGAGAAACCAACACTTGTTGTTTTGGATTACTAAAAGTAACCCCTCATAGAAGGGCATCTATGTATACTGTTAATTGTTAGATTTACACAAGTTATGATACAGACTTACTATAAAATATCTTATCAGAATGACTTTGTCATTTTGTGAATTTGTGCAATATGTGTATACGTGTATACATATTTTTTCCATTCTTTTTACTTTATTTTTTCTTTCTTCTTGTCTGTTTAAAACAAATTTTTAATGTTTTAATGTTTTTGAAGGAAATCTCTTACGCTCACCAAGGCTGCATTAATGACCAAAATACAGTAAAAGCAGTAATATCGTGAAATATTATTAGAATTTAAAATAACTTTTTTTTTTTTTTATATATTTTAAAATGTAATTTAGTCCTGTGATGACAAAGCTGAATTTGCAGCAGCCATTACTCCAGTCTTCAGTGTCACATGATTCTTCAGAAATCTTTCTAATATGTTGATTTGGTGCTCAAGAAACATTTTTTATTATTATAAATTTTAAAAACAGTTGGGCTGCTTAACATTTTTGTGTAAACCGTGATACATTTTTCTGGCTTTTTGATGAATAAAAAGTAAAAAAACAGCATATTTGAAATAGAAATCTTGTGTAGCACTATAAATGTGCATCACTTTTGATCAATTTATTGTGTACTTATTGAATAAAAGTATCAATATAAAAAAAATCTTACTGACCCCAAACTTTTGAACAAGAATGTAAACAAAATATTTTTTAAAACAGCTCCAAACACCAATAAGCAGCCTTATCTTACAGTAATGGTGCTTTAATCTTCTAAAGTGGCAACTTCCAGGTCATGCTTATGATTCCATATCTTTAAAATATCAGAACCCGCTGTGAAGTCTAGAACACAAATGTGAGATCTGCTGTTTATTACTGTTGCATTCCATCTGTTTTACTCTTCCTTATGAGTTTCCAGCTTGGTTTCTGTTGATATGCCAAAACCGCTTTCTTCTCATATTAGCCAACTGGACACATATCATTTATATGCAAGTATGTTGTTACAAATGAATTTAAGCATTGTACAACTTTACAGTAATAATTTACAGTAGGTAAAACAGATAGGCCTATTCAATTTGAAATTTGCTGAAGATTACATTTAATAATTGTAATAAATTACTATTATTTTTAAAGATTAACTTTAAGTGAGTTTTAGATGACAAATAAATGTAAAAATAAGAGAAAATTATTATGCACAAATTCATATATAAAATAAAAACATCAATGTACTCTATTACTCTTTATCTGTTTCTCTTTCTTTCTTTCTCTCCCTTCCTTCATTTCCACTGGCCTAAACAGGACTGATCCAAATCTCTCTTGGCTTGCCTCGCTTCACTGTCTCCCCTTAGCTTGCTAGACTCATCTAAAACACACTGATCTCACATTTCCAGTGACTAGCCCCAGCTGTACCCCGGCTGAAAATAGGCCTCCCTTTCCCTCGGATCAAGCCCAATTCATCACAATTAGACTGCTTCCCATTTGTGATCCCCTAGAGCTGGTTTCCCCCCTCCCACAAAGGGACAAAACACTGACTGACCTATAATAGTGTGCCCCCATAGGACGAAGCATACTTCCTTATGATGCCTGGACTACAAACTTCAGCTGAACTTTACCAGAAACCCTTATCATGAGTAAGCAAAACAACACTGAATCACTTTCTCTCTTATCTTACAGACAGGCACCCGTGTGACTAATTAGTACATGACTCATGGGTCTGTTTACGGTTAAGAGACCAGGGCTTCGACCAGCATGCGTTTATGCAAACAATATGTCATCCTTATACAGCGACTTGATGAACTTGCATTGCCTTGTGTGTTTGCGTGAGGTGGTTTGTTCGGGCCTGCTGGTGCTGAGTGGGTTTATTGGACTGACCTGACCGGCTGTGTCACAAAGCTGAAGTTTCACAGGCTTGCCGTCCACAGCTACAACCGCTGCAGATGAGATCAGAATCAATATTATTATTATGTATTATTAGTATATTTAGTATATTAGTGCATACATATAAATAATTTAAATTAAAAATTAATAAAATTACATCTTTAAATTAACATTCTTTATTGCAAATTAACCTAATATAACATTATACATATAAAATCCAACTGAACTCATATCTATGTTCCAGAGTGGCTTCTAGTTGGTTCAAGCTTCCCATTAGCTGGTGCAAGCTGGTTATTAGCTCCAAAACCCAGCTTGACCACCTAATCGGTATTCGTATGACCAGCTGGTAGCTGTTTATTGCTGGTCTAAGATGGTCTACCAGCGGTTTGGACCAACTAATGACCAACTCAGACCAATTAGAAAGCTACCATGATCCAAAACGCATAAGTAACAGTTTAAACTGGATTTTCTAACAGGTAGTTAAAGTTAAAAAGTTTTTTTTTTTTTTTACAATTTAGTTTTACAGTTTAATTATAAATGCTGGCGTGATGTTTACCTGCAAAGTTGTCAAACGCTGTTGGAACATACTCGGTGGGATATCCATTGGTGGTATAGCTCACAATGAGACTAGTTTTACCCACTGCACCATCACCAACCAGCACGCAATTCACCCTGCGCTCCGCTGCCGACCCGAAGCGGATCTTTACCGCGGATGACAAATCTCTGCTCCTGAATCTCCTCGGGGGTACCGGCGGCACAACCGTACCTGGAACAGGCTTATATTCTCCACCTCCCTGCGGAGGCATCGCTGAAAACACTGACCGTCCAGAAGTTTTAACGCCAGTTTCAGCGATTCATCTCACTTGTGAATGAGAAAGCGGAGCACCAGTCTCCGATTTCACTGCAGTGTCCATTTATTTTAGAAGGAAAAGGTCCGCTTAAAGCTACATTTCAAATCAAGACGTGTTTGCTTTATCCGGATATAAAACAAAGCAACTCTGAAGCAAAAATAAATACGAAGCCCACACGCACACTGACGTTATGCCCTCATGAGGCAAGCCCTCCTCCACCCTCTCTCTAAAACTGATCTGAGTGAGCACTTTACTCCCAAACACTGTGGCTGTGTCACAATGCATAGCAGCCGCCTATTAGATGGCGTTCTGAGGCGCGCGCAGCTTCTTTGGCCGTACATGTACATAAGGTAGGCAGCTGACTAGTGTTTGAGACAGAGCCCATGACATCGTCCACTGTGAACTGCATTCATCCGTGAACTGAAGTTCAGCAAACCTGTTGTCATTACTGATAAACTCAACTGGCGCAAATACACGCGTCAGCAGTTTTATTTGTTATCATGGATAATGTCCTTGAAATCCAAAATGGTTAAAGTTCATATACATTTGTGTCTTTTGAACAAAATTTACATTTTAGCGTTTATTTCTCTCACACACACGTTTACTTAGCTAAATGGGGACATTAAATAGACTTCTATTGTTTTTATATACAGATAGTTATACACTTTTTAACCTAAACCCACCCCTACCCCTAACAGAAAACTTTCTGCATTTTTACAATTTAAAAAAAAAAACTTTACTTTTATTTTTATACCCGTTTTACAAATGAGGACGTCCCCAAATTGAGTTTTTTTTTGGCGATTTTGTCAGGTTTTGCTTTTGGGTACAAATTTTGGTCCCCAAAATATGGTTATGTAAGTACATACACACACACACACACACATAATATAAGAACACTGCGACTATTCAAGTAGGGCTAGCATCGTATTTCTCATTAAATTCTTCAAGTAGTTAAAGGGATAGTTCACCCAAAAATGAAAATTTGATGTTTATCTGCTTACACCCAGGGCATCCAAGATGTAGATGACTTTGTTTCTACAGTAGAACACAAACGAAGATTTTTAACTCAAACCGTTGCAGTCTGTCAGTCTTATAATGGAAGTGAATGGAAATCACGGCTTTGAGAGTCAAAAAAACATACACAAACGAAACCAAATTAAACTCTGCGGCTCGTGACTATACATTGATGTGTAAAGGCACGAAACGATCGGTCTGTGCAAGAAACTGAACAGTATTTATATAGTTTTTTTACCTCTGATGCACTACAATGTCTGAACTGTCCTGAGCGCGTCCTCGACAGCCAGTGCGAGGAGTCTTTTTCTTCTTCTAATAACGTTTTATGGGGAATGGCTAACCAACTTCTGGTGCATTTACCACCACCAACTGGACTGGAGTGTGAAGCACTAATAATCAACTAATATATATAATAAAAAAGGGGGTAAATAAATAACTAACTAAATAATAAAATAAAACCAAATTCTCCTGATTAATCCTATTTCTTTAATGCATTTTATAATAGCACCATATATTTTACCTTGTTCTGCATGCTCTTTCAAAAGGCTTGACAAATTAAATGATTCAAGACCCATGTTTCTTACTTCCTTAATGAGTTTTACCCTTTCTTTTTCATAATTTTTACATTTTATTAAAACATGCTCTATTGTTTCTGCCTTATTAGAAAAAATACATTGACCTGTTTCATGTTTTCCTATATTAAACAGAGATTGATTTAATCTAGTATGCCCTATTCTGATGCGAGAAATAAATCTTCTTTCCTATTCCTAAAAACACTTCTTCCATTTCCTACTTGCTGCTGAATATTATACATATGTCTGCCCTTGCTATCACAGTTCCATACTTCTTGCCATTTATTGTTTATAAATTCTTTAATTTTCCCTTTAACCTCATTTTTGCTAAGAGACACTTGAATATCTATTTCTGTGTGTTTAAGAGCTGACTGTGTGTCAGTCAGTCCGTGTGGATATCGTACTTTGCACTCACAGATTCTAGCCTACGTCTTGGAATATATAACTCAAATAAGCATTTTCACCGGATACTGTCATCTGAACAAGTAAGTAACAAGTCTGCCACGTTTGTTCTGACCAACTGAGGAAAAAAGCATTACAATAAATCACGCTACCAATGGTGATTAAATCTAAAGATCGGTTAGTTTATATCATATCAACCCTTTCAAATTATTTTTGTTATACTTTATTCTCAAATTTGTTAATGTTAACAACATCAGCATTGAGTGACAATGAGTATAGTGTGTATAAGCAAGTAGATTTCAATTTCTGTACAGTCTAATCTCTCTAATTGTCATACCACTTGAATGTCATTTTAAGGAATTCTTTTAACCCAAAAAAAGCAAATTATGCTAGCTTCGAACTAGCTGTCTTTATAATACAAATCTTGTGTAATCCCAGGCTATCTGTAATCAGAAGCACATTTAAAACTGGAATATAATTTAATTTAATTTGTGTTTCATAAACGCATAATCCTTTCTGGATTACAATCCGCCATCTAAATGATACATTTAATTATTCCAGCTGCTGTGAGAAAAAGATCCTCACATGCGACAGCCTAGAAACAGGTGTCCTGACATTTTATCCTTCCCATCAGATTGTCCTACCAGGGTTTACTGCGCATGTGCACTTCAATATTGTGTCCTTTTTCTCACGCTGAACAACAATATTTAATGTATCTGCATTTCTGTAAGGGTAGGTTTAGGGTTGGGTTGGGTGTAGACGTTTAATAAACCATAATTTTACAGGTAGCATTTTTCGTTGTCGAATTGTACTACCCACTATTTTAATGGGAGGTAGCAAAATCTGACAGGGTAGCACAAATCGACAGAACACTGGGACAACTTCTTTATGTTTACAGAAGTGACGTAATGACGCAGCGGCATGCTCGAATTTCCCGCGAAAACCTACCCCTACCACTCAAATTAGAAAACATTATTATAAGCTTACCGTTGTGAATCGGGCTAAAGTAAGGCGATAGTTTCGAACACTGGCTGGTTATGTACTTGCTCAAATATTGATAATTTTTAACCAAAAAAAAGTTACGGACTGCAGCTTTAAATTACACAGACAAATTTAATTCTCTAATGGGACCAAAGGGGAGCGTGGAATTGAACTGTAATGCAGTTACGCCATCTATCGGACAAATGCTAAAACAGGTTCCCTCAAGAACAAAATAACTTCTATATACTTTAAATATACTTTTAACTCCAATAGTGAATATTAGTTCACAATATTAAGTATTTATAGTACTAACTGATATAATATTAGTGAGTTTTATCTACATTATGTGTGGTTTATTGGTTTGGCTGCTTATTTTTGTGTGGAACGTTAGTCGCAGATCTTGTTTCACCCGAGACTCAGTTTCAGATGAACAGACGCCCGCACATAATTCCGACGATTTGTATGCACATGTGAGATTGACAGATGGCTGCAAATTCAGAGAAATCGAAAACAAACCGTGAGGTCGTGTTGGGCTTCTTAGAGGAGGCAGAATCATGGCAGCTTTTTAGTAACCAGTTTCCAAGTAAAGTCGGAGGGAGACCTTCGTGGTTGAGCCAGGTGGATTTGCCAACTGTGTCCGAGTTACAATGCGAGAAGTGTAAACTTCCAGCAGTGTTTCTTCTGCAGGTCTACGCACCAATAACGGAATATGATCAATGTTTTCACAGAACACTTTTTGTGTTCTGCTGCAAGACACCAGCCTGCTATATTAGAAATGACAACAAGTGTTTTAAAGGTAATTCATACGCTGTCATACTATTTTGAACAGAGTATATTGTTTTTTTTATGTATTAATATTTTAATTATATATTTACATATTTTAAAGATTGTCATTTTTTTTACTTATACCCTCATGACGTTCCAAAAGCCTATGACTGACTTATGATTGAAGATGCTGGTAACCAAACAGTTTTGATTCCATTGTATGGACAAAAGTACAATAAAAGTCCATGTGAACCAAAACTGGTTACCAGCATTCTTCGAAAGCTCTACTTGTATGAAAGATAGGCATACAGGTTTTAATTGAGGCTCATAGTGCAAGCCTTGCTCTAATGTCACAGTATTCTGTACTATTCCCCATTCCCAGTGTTCAGATGTCAGCTGCCAAGAAAAAATGACTTTTACCCTTTTGATCCTCCTCCTGAGGAGAAGCCAGAGCACCTAGTGAATGATCATCAGGTTCTGGGCTCTGGGCTCAAACTGTGCAGGCTGTGCGGTTGTCTGGGACTGAAAGCCTGTTCTCGATGTCACTCTGTCACATACTGCTGTAAAGAGCATCAGACCATAGACTGGAAACACGGTCACAAGAAAGAATGTTCAAATGAGGGTAAGTGAATGCAGATTAGGACCATTTCTCCATTATTTCAACCAAGATCTAACGTTAGCTTTAATCTATACCAGGGGTTTCCAAACTCGGTCATGGAGGGCTACTGTCCTTCTGAGTTTAGCTCCAACCCCAATTAAACACACCTGAATCAGCTAATCAAGGTATTACTAGGCAAACTAGACATTTCCAGACAGGTGTGTCGAGGCAAGTTGGAGCTAAACTCTGCAGGACCGTGACCCTCCAGACACCCCTGATCTATACGCATGTTGTCTTCATATCTGAATCCACAGCTTCTCAAAACTCAGAGGAGCTCAATTCATTTCTCTTTCCTGAGTGGGAGTTGGTTACCGACCCGGAAGAGCTTCCAGCAAAAGATGAGGAATGCCATGAAGGCCACAGACTGGATCAGGAGAGCATGGCATGCTTAAATAATGGTGTAACTTTCAGATCAGATTCGGCAGCTTGATATATCCACATCTTGACAAGGATTGGCCATTCACACTGTTTATTTACCCTCTCAGGTTTGGAGGACAGTGAACTAGAAAGTATGGCCCATCATGAAACACAAGACTCTAAAGCGTTTCAGAAGTTCAAGAAGCGCTTGGCTAATGAACCACAACAGGTCAGTTACAAAGTCACTGTCTGAAGAGCAAATGCTGCACATGGCTTTTGTGTGCTGTGAGGTTCAACAGCTATGTGACTGTATATTAATTTTTAAGGTTTTGCGGTATTGCAAAGGAGGATCTCCACTTTGGGTGTCAGCTGAACATGTGCCATGTGAGGAGGATGTTCCAGAATGTCCATGTGGTGCAAAACGTCTGTTTGAATTTCAGGTAATGTAAAGAACATGTTAAATATAAAGCGCACATA